CATTGCCAGACTCAAAATGGAGTTACTCACATCACTCTAGAGAAACAGATAAAGGCTGCAGATTATGAAGTGAGGTTCTTGAATATTTGCCTGAAAACAAGAACCATAACCCAGCTTGAGGAGGACTCTGTTGGGACATCAGCCCAGCAAGGGCCTAGTCTCATCTGAGCTGTGCTTTCTGTAGGATGCTGTTTCCTGCCAGGGAAGAAAGGAGACGGATAGCTCCATCCGACTTGCCTTCTCCCTTTTATCCTGTCTATGGTGGCTTGAATGAGAAGCTCCCCATAGGTTCATATATTTGAATATTTGATTTCTGATAGGTGGAACTGTGTGGCCTTCTTAGAGGAGAGATGTCATAGGAGCGTGGGCTTTGAGGTTTTAAAGTCCACAGCATTCCCAGTTAGTTAGTGCTCTCTCTCTCTCTCTCTCTCGATCAGATGTAAGTTCCCAGTCACTGCCTGCTGCCATGCTCCCCACTCAGATGGTCATGGTCTCTAATCTTCTGGAACCGTGAGCCCCCAGATTAAATGTGTTCTTTTACAAGTTGGCTTTGTCACGGTGTACTATCATGGCAATAGAAAAATAAGTCAGATACTGTGAAAAGTTAATGCCCTGTGAGGGAGATACTGCACACTAAATCTGTGGAAAGTAAGTAACTGCTTAAGGTCACAAATGCAGAAAAGTGCTGAGTCAGGATTCAAATATGAGTCCCTACCCCAGACGGCCACACGCAGCACACAGCAGAGGAACCGGGCTGAGCAGAAGGCCAAGGTCAGGCCACCCTGTCAAGGTCAGGCCACCCTGTCAAGGTCAGGCCACCCTGTCTCGGGAAGAAACGGTAACATCACACCAGAGGTGGTGGCAGCCTGAGGGAGAGGAGCCCACTGCCAGGCAGGTGTCTCCGCAGAAGTGCTCTTCCTGCTAGGCTGCAGGCCTGGCAGTCCCCTGCCTTCTGATCTTGTTAGCAGGCTGACTGCATGTGGCTGTCCCTGCAGCCCACAGACTGAGTTTTCCTAGGGCTGATAGAGGTAACTCCATTTCGCACATCTTGGGACTCCTCAGCTTTATTATTTAAAGGGATCAATCCCCTTAGATACCTAGAAAGCACGTGCTCAGTCTGTGTAAGGTTCCATCCCCAGCACTACCAGGCATAAACAGAAAGGGCGGAAAGAGGAGGGGGAGGAGGGAGGGACAGGTGAGTATCCCTTATTCTACTGCAACCTCAGCCTCATGCAGGAGCTGCTGTGGCCTGTCACGACATCCCCAGGCCCATGGATGTTCCCTGTTAAATCCACTTCGAGTATGCACTTTGAGTGTTCCTGTTTGTTATTTGTTTTCCAGGCTGACTAATAGAAAAGGCGTAGCACAGAGACTGCTATATAACATGCGGTTGCATTTCCGTAAGTACCCAATGTTCGTCCATTCACACATGCTGACTTTTACCATGTTTTCCCATGTTACCCGTGTCTACAGGGGCAGGTACCAGAGACACAGGGATGATCAAGGCCCCATCTCTGTTCATATGAAGTCAGCGCTAGTGCGTGGGAAAGCAGATGGGTAAGTATAAGTGATTTCTGCACCCTGAAATAAATTTGTCCCCACAGGCTCTACTCTGATCGGAGCCCGGCGAAGGGCACCGTGGTTGCCTTTGCAGTAGCATAAGAGTGAAAAGAAAACCCTGTCCCTGGAAACCACGTCAGGATCAGCTGCAGCCTGAAGTCAGGGCCTGTCGCCTTTGTCTGAAGGCTGCAAAGGGCCACTGAAAGCCCTCAGGGAGTGGAGACACCAGGCTGTGTCCACATTGGGAAGCTGACTCTGGCACCAATGAAAGAAGGTGGGAAGTGGGGGCTCTACCTGAGCGATGAAGAGGCTTAGGGTCCTGATGAGGCTGGATAGCTATGGTCTACCAAAGCACTTCAGTGGGAGGGCTAGGCTGATGGAAGATCGTGGCTGGAATTCGGGATGGTAGGAATTTCTGAAGAAGAAAGGATCTATTTCTTAAAAAGTTGCAGCTAGTCTCAATTCAGGCTGTTCTAATTATTATTTTAAAATGATCCATCACACTGGGCATGTGGGAGGCAAAACAGGTGGATCTCCACAAGTTAGAAATCAGTCTGATGTACATAGCAAGTTCCAGGCCACCCAAGACTACATTAAGAGAAAGGACACCTTGGCCGAGGCTACCTAGAACACACACACTGGTTTGATTTGGTTTCTCTTGAGTCAAATGTGTTATTTAAACACCCAGAGCTTTGGGATTGTACCTGTCAGTCAACTGTCAGTCATGGACGGGGGAAGGGGAGGCTCCACCCCTTCTTGAGTAGCCACTGCCAGTTAATGGCTCCTGGGAGGGGAAGTCATTTTCTTCAATAGTATAGCCACTGGTTAATTGCCCATGCTCCAGGAAATGACCTACTATCCATGCGCATGGAAGCAACCCTAATTAAATCCTGGGCTCCCACTGAGGAGTTAGACTCAGAAGGAGAGGAGGACATGTCGGGAAGAAGTCAGGGTTCAGTGGGACTGGAGGCAATAGGAGGGCAATGTGGGTGAACAAGATCAAAACCCATTCTATCCCTGTGTAAAATGTTAATAAATTGATAAAATACCTGTGCTGTATTTTGAAGAGAGGTATGGTATCATATCACTGTAGCTCCACCCCAGAGAGTGTCCGGAGAAGAGTAATGGGGTTGCTCCATCCATTCAAGGACAGACGGCAAGGTTCCTGCTTCGCTTGTGCCAATTTGTGCCCGACAGAACTGAAAGTGAACGTTACTTGCAGTCTTGCTAGTTGGACTTTTGACATCCACTGTAACTACATCTTGTCTTGCCTTGTCAATCACATTGCGTGTTTTCTTCTGTGCTGTGGTAGCAGGGACTCCTCTGAGGCCAGTGTCTTTTCTTTGGGGCATTCAGATGCCGTTTGAACAGAACATTTACTGCCTGTGGTAGAGAAGTGTTTTTTAGGCATTTTGTTACTCATAACACATTCTTTTCCTACCGTTCACCCTTCAGTAACTAAGTTTTGTTCTACAGAGGGTCTTGGTATGTCAACTGTATTTGGTATGGCAATTCTAATCTGTCTTCATAGAGCCTATTTATTTATTTATTCATTCCATGTAACCAGGCTGGCCTCAGATTATCTGTGTAGCCAAAGCTGGCCTTACACTCTGGATCCTTCTGCCTCTTGGATGCTGGAATTGCAGGCATGCCCCACCTCCCTTCTACAGACCCGGCTTTGAATCAGAGACAGCATCCCAGCAAGTCATGGCGAGCAGAACGCTGAGTCAGAGGGTAGCTCTTCTCTTTTTGATATGTATCATTCGTGTTTCTTGTTTCTGTTGTTTGGAAGAATTTATTGCAATGGGATTTGTCTGGAGAAGGTTTTTGGTAGGCTCAGAGCAGCCTGATTTCCTGGATTGTAAAGAAGAATTTGTTTGGCTGGGACGTTTCCATGTTCCAAGGCCTTCCAACTCTTGTCGGAGGTGACATTCATGGGCTATCCTGTGGGTTCTCAAGAGTGGCTGGATCTGCCCCAACCCCACGGAAGGTTCAGAAGTAGATCTGCGTGAAAGGAAAATGTGCCGGGGAGGGGGGAGTGGAGGGGCGGGGGTCGGGGGGGAGTGGAGAGGGGGGGGGGGGAGGGGCGGGGGTGGGGGGGGTGGCCATCAGTACTTTCAAGCTGGGAAGTTTCTTGCTGTGAACAGGATAAGCAGTGCGCATTTTACCAGGAGAGGTAATATGTTTATATACGAAACCTCTGCCGCGACATCTCTGTGCTGCACGCTCCACTTACAGAAGGCATGGTAACTAGGGCTCCCTGGGAAGAAAAGGCGGCCCAGTCTCTCGGTGCTCTGAGGGCGAGGACTTCGCCAGCTGTGCCAGTGAGCTAGTGGCTGCGGAGCTGGGGACGGAGCCAGGCACCTTTCAGTGTCCTCTTAAATCTGCCGGAAAGCCCCTCAGTCTTATTTCACAGACAGAGTCTTGGAACAATCAAATGATTCCTCAGTGCTATGAACTGGGCAAGGAGTGTGGCTTGGGTTCAAACTGAAGTCTGTCCAGCTTCAGAGCCCTGGAGGCTGTTCGCTTCACACCGAGGCAGCTGGCTCAGGAACATCTCTGTGTGACGCTCAGACTGGCTCTCCTCCAAGGTTGGACAAGGTCTCTTTCAACACTGAGATTCTAGGTCACAGCTCAAAGCATATGGGGAAGCATTCTGGTCACCGTTTTATTCAAAGATCTGCTTCTGAAGTTTATCTCCGTGGTCTGGAGGGGACCTCCTCCCCTGACACGGTCATTCATCTTGAGGAAAGATGATTGATTTAGGGGCGGCAAGGTCTAAACTCTGGGTTGACCAGGGTAGCCAAGTCCCTCAGCTTTGCTGGTGAGGTCTGAAAGTATTTGGGGGAGAGGAGTGAGCTGATAGGAGGTGATGGGTCAGTGGTGGGTTTTATGGTGCTGTTGGGAGCTTTATGCTTTGACCTGAGTGTTTCCTGTAGCCTCATAAAACAAACTAGAAGGCATTACATCATCCCCTACGCCGTCCCAACAGAGACTAAACCTTTTCCATGCTTGGAATATTTCCTGCTGGTCCACCATGGCCAGCCCACTTTTCCAGTTCACAAAGCTCTGTAATACGTGTGGAGAAAAGGCGAAGTAGGGAGAATCCATCAGCTCGGGTTGTTTCCCTGCTGTTTCCGGGAAAGACATGACTCCTATTAGAGCAGAGTACCCAAACCTCTCAGAAACAGGCCCGTTTAGCTTGGGCAGTAAATGAATAAGCCAGTTACGCATCTTTTGGGTGGCTGGCAAGTTTGTTGTCATGGCAACTCTCCCACTGAGGGAGGTCTGCTTGCACAAGTTGTCAGCCTCTGTCCCAACCCCAAGCTACCTGAGGAGGAGGAGCCAGTGCAATCCATTCCTTATTTATAACTCGCACTGAGTGAGGGGGAGGGATCACAGGTTGACTCCCTAGCAGGCTGCCTGCCGGAGTCACATCCACAAATGTCTCAGCCGCAGCCGGCTGGCTGCATCCTTCTCACGTTCCTGGGTCTACTTGGGCTGGTTGGTGCCGTCACCAGGACATACTACATTGGGGTTGTGGAAGAATACTGGAACTATGTGCCTCAGGGGAAGGATGTCATTACTGGGAAGAGCTTCTCAGAAGACAAGTGAGTGAAAGTGGGGTCCCTCACAGACTCTCGGTTTGACCTATTTTCAGCTCTGTGCCAGGGAGGTTGTGATTGTTAGGTGACTATGTTGGAGGTGGACTGACTGAGGTGGAAAGGCAGGTTTTGTTTCTGCCCAAGAATCCCTAACCAAGGTGGATCTGTAACTTGTGAGAGAAATCCTCCTCTGTATGTACCACTGTGCCATCTGCTACCCTTGACTGTGAGGAGACATCCACAACCAGGTGTTTTGAATAGTCGGTTTTCATTGGCAATTTCTAGACTCTAGAAGATCCTTGGACTTTGTTAAAAAGGAAAACAAAGGCAAACTTGTGAAAAATTGAAAACTTCCAAGGATGAAATGTCAAAGCCGTTTTCTTAGTTCTGTTTGCGGAATGTGGTATGTTGGCCATGCTGGACGTGGTCTTGCTTTCCTTTCGTGGTGTAAGATGTGAAGTGGGGGTGGTTATAATAGAACTAGTTGTATTTGAAGAGTTTCCTTGAGTCTACTTAGAAATGGGTCTTTCTCTGCTGAGGAGCTTGTTCAGCCTTGACCCCTTCATCCCACGGGGCTGTAGCTCACAACACAGTTGGGGACGATGGTGCTGGAACTTCTCTGGCTTTTGATTTGAGCAGAGAGTACCCTCCACTCCAGGGCCCAACATCTCAGATGTCTTTCTTGTTCCATGGTCTGCCTCTGAAGACACCACTGGTTCAGGAAGCTGTAATAGTGTGTTTTCAACTTCATGGTTCTCAGAGCATTTTGGATCTGGCAATTGTTAGGTGCCTGAATTCATATTCTTTTCTTGATCGATAGAGTCCCCTGTGTTCAACACCCACATTCCATTTCTCAAACATTTCCATTTGAGTTTATTTGCTCAAATTTAGAAATGGTGTGGGGTCTGCCAGCAAATCTTCTAGAGCCAGCTCTATACCTAGAGGAAAGACCTAAGATCCAGTTTGCTTTGATATTCAACTTCTTGCCTTTATAACAACACAATCATGACAGTCATGTCCTGTTATCTAAAAAAAAAATGAGAATCCTGCCAACTTGGTGACCAAAGATTGTTCATTGAGCTGTGTATTGAATAGTTTTTTTTTAAATGGGGTTATTTCCAAAGAAAGGACTCGATACATTCTAGTCCTCCAACTTCACCCATCACAGAGACAGTCTTTAACACACGAACAAGGCATTAAAAATACCCGAACTGCCAGAGTTTTCACTGAAATCAGAGCTTTCCTGCCAAAGAAAAGGATCACTGGAAAATGGCCAGTGTGGATAGGACATTAGAATGTTCAGTCCATGTGAACAGCTCTAGGACATTAGAATGTTCAGAATATGTACATGGAATGGTACATGGCCAACAGAAATGTGATAATGATGATAATGATTATTTTTATTATTATTATTATTTACTCAAGACTTGTATTATGGACTCTTAATCTGCTTGTGCCTACAGATATTATTTTTCCCATTTTTCCAACCAGGATGGAGGCTCTGAGGCTGAATACTTGTAGTTTACCAGGCAAAAGGCCTCATGAAACACATGGCTTGGGTCCCAGGGCCCTTGTGTCCTCTTTCTGTGTAACCCACTTCTTGGAAAAGTTGACCGTTTCCTGCTGAGGTGAATCCAGCCTTAAAGAAGGAAGTGATCTCAGAGTGTGAACTTTCTAGGAGGTCTTAATTCTTACCAAGGGCGCATTTAATCTCACCTCCTTTCTTCGCAGAGAAAAGTTAAAACTGGTCCTGAAGGGTCAGCGGCCACACTGACTTTTGAATTTGTTTAAAAACCTCCAAATAACTTAAATACTCGAGACTCAAATGCTATTTAGACAAAGCCAAGAACGTGAAGGAAGGGGGGTCTTTCTCTGGATCCCCTCAACTAGAAGAAGGGGCTTTGAATGAAGGGCAGTGCCATGGATGAGAATTCTGAGGTGAAGGAGAAACTAGACTTGTTGAAGCCATTTCTGTGGACCGGGTCTGAGTGAGGCACCCTTACACTAGTTTTGTCTCCTTGTAACTGGCGTTGGAAGTCACTGGCACAGGATGATGTTACATTGATGATAGCTGGATTACAAGCACCTCCTTTTGCAGGGGACCTTTTTGTCTATCTGTGGCTATCTTTTGAAAGAGAGAAGGCAGAGTAGCCCAGGTGCTTACTGGACAGTTGTAGGCTGTGGCAGGAGACTCGGGGCAAGCCCCTCCGGAGGTATCTTTGCAGTTGACAGCTTTGATTGTAGTCTCCAGTACACACCCAACTGCATGTGAAGAGGCCATGATGGAGGGACATAGGTGAGCCCACCATGTACACTCTGGAATCACTCAAGCACCACGAACAGAGGAGAAGGTCCCGATACACTGAATAACCTTTTTTCCAAAGAACCTTGTCAGTACCAATATCCCATGGGAGACAGAGCAAAAAGTCAGTCATCTGGATCTTTAAAGCAAAAGTAAGTCACATTTTTGGGATGGACAGACTCCATCCTAGTAGGACATTGTTTGGGTACTCAGACAAATGTTCAGTATTCAGAAGACCCAGGGATTCAAGTGCCAATGTTTCACCAGAATGGAGCAATCTTGAATAACAATCTAGATAGACTTCTAGTTTTTGCTGTGTGGTGCCACACACCACGTGCCACACCATCTATTGCATTTCTAAATGTGGACAAGGGCGAGTTTAAATCATCCCTAATGTCACTTGAGCATCGGATTTTATTTTTGACACTAAGTGAAAAAAAAAATCCTTCCTGGTTTTCTAGTTTTAGAGAGATTAATGAAACAGAGGAGTGGTTTTCAAATGTCTGCTCTTGAAATCCAAGTCCCAGAAGACCTAGGAATGAAAGTGTGCTTGTGTGGTTATTTTTAGGAGTGTTCTGTATTTTATTTTATCAAGTCCCCCAGTATTAAAAAATAAATGAAAACCAATGTGTGCCTGTGGTGGGTGTGTGCACGTAAGGTCCCCTCAGAGGCCAGAGGCCTTGTGTTCCCTGGAACTGGAGTTTCAGGCAGACGTGAGCTGCCCATATGGGTGCTGGGAACCGAACCCAGGTCCTCTGTGAGAGCAGTGTACATTCTTAGCTGCTGAGACATTTCTCAGCCCCCCTCCACCCTTTGAGACTGTCAGCTCCTCAGTCCATGCTAATGAAGTTCTCTCCCACAACTCCAGGTGGATCTAGCTCTTTCCCCCCTAGCCTGACTGGGGTCCTCATACACACAGATGGGCTGTTTTTCTTCCCTCTGTGTTATTCTGTGCTTGTAAGCCCGCACTTACCTCTGAAGCCAGAGTCAGAGCTCCAGGAAGACAGAGGGAAAAGGCCCCATGTGTTAACCTCCTTCCACTACACAGAGCCTCGTCAGAGGTCATATTACATGTGGAGCAAACCGGAAAGCCTGTGCTCTGAGTCTCTGAAGCCAAAACGCTATGAGCTGTTCTGGTTGCTTTCACTCCGGATAAGAGAAATGGAAAAGGAAAAGATAATAGGAGAAAGGAGTGGATATGAAAGTTTCAGCAATGCCAAGACTTTCGGAACCCAAAACTCAACAGGATGGAGATGCTTGAGGTCCTGCAGAAGAGAAGGGAAATAAGTGGAAATTCTTATGCTGAGATTCTAAGAACTGGACAGTGCAATTAAACTTGCCAGTGTGTGATGCCTTTGCTTGGCCATAGTGTCCAAAAATGTATCTGGGAGCGTCAAGCAATAATGTTTCCTAGAAAGTGTAGGATTTCAGAAGTGTGTTCTATTTAGAAACACATTCTCCGTGTGCTCCTCTCCCGCTTCACTGGGTGGAATGGGGACACCAGGCTCCTTTGATTTGCCTGGGATTTGTGTCAGCATTTTCATCCCTTCATGCAGGGCTGCTGGGGCTCATAAAAAACTTAATTAAGGTGTGACTGTGCTTCGGTGGTAAACCCTGCTCTTTAATGGAGCTGAGTGGGTCATCTTTGTTAAAGTCATAGGTTTTTTTTTTTTTTTAAAAAAAAATCACAGGCCTTATTAGGTAAGCACTGTGCATATAGCTTCTTCCCAGTGGAATACAAGGCTGCCTATGGATGTGAGATGCCCTTGATCAGGACTCTGGCTGGTTTCTGTCAAAGCTCCCGCATTGGAGGGGCTCCTAGAGAAAGGTGCCCTGACCATCACTGCAGCAGCCCATCGGTAGGACAGAGTCTGAGTCACCTCTTGAAGGAGGGTCTACGATGGGGATGAGAGAGAGACTTCTTCATCTACCTGAAAGAACGCGGATAGAGGGAACAGGATGGAGGCAGAGAGGATCTAAGATCTAGCACGAAGCCAAGGCTTTCATCTTGTCAGTGTTTGGTCTTAGATGGACAGCAATTTCAAGGCGTAGTTTTTTAAATTGATTTTATTGAGCTCTACATTTTTCTCTGTTCCCATCCCTTCCTCTCTTTTCCCCCTTCTTCCCTCTCCCATGGTCCCGATACTCCCCATGCTCCCAACTTACTCAGAAGATCTTGTCTTTTTCTACTTTCCATGTAGATTAGATCCATGTATGTCTCTCTTAGGGTCCTCATTGTTGTCTAGGTTCTCTGGGATTGTGATTTGTAGGCTGGTCATCTTTGCTTTATGTTTAAAAGCCACTTATGAATGAGTGCATATGATATTTGTCTTTCTGGGTCTGGGTTACCTCACTCAATATGATGTTTTCTAGATCCATCCATTTGCCTGCAAATTTCAAGCTGTCGTTATTTTTTCTGCTGTATAGTACTCCATTGTGTAAATGTACCACATTTTCCTTATCCATTCTTCAGTCGAGGGGCATTTACGTTGTTTCCAGGTTCTGGCTATGACAAATAATGCTGCTATGAACATAGCTGAGCACATGTCCTTGTGGTACGATTGACCATCCTTTGGATATATACACAAAAGTGGTATTGTTGGGTCTTGAGAAAGGTTGTTTCCTAATTTTCTGAGAAATTTCCATCTGATATCCGAAGGGGCTGTACCAGCTTGCACTCCCACCAGCAATGCAGGAGTGTTCC